AGGGCTCGCAGGGCTCCCTTTATGAAGCAGACAGAAGCCCCTGCAAACCCTCACCAAACAGAATATCGGTGGTGTGACCTGTGGATGCTTTGCTCCTTGAGATCCCATCCCTGAGATGGAATTGGCTCCCTTGGTGCCGACCTTTGAGCTTGTGGTCGAGGGTGTGCTTTTGGTGCCTTCGTGAAACCAATGACTGGCTGGTGGTGTATATCATAGAAACATTGAATCGTAGATCGAATCATAGCATGGTTTGGGTTGGAAGGGACCTCAAAGATCATCTGGTTCTAACTCCCCTGTCATGGGCAGGGAAACCCTCCGCTACACCAGGCTGCTCAACGCCTCATCCAGCCTGGCCTTAAGCACCTCCAGGGATGGGGCATCAACAACTTCTCTGGGCAACCTGTTCCAGTGCCTCACCACCTTCAGAATGAAGAAGTCCTATCACTGCATGCCCTTGTTAAAAGTTCCTCTTCAGCTTTCTTGTAGGCCTCCTTCAGGTACTGGAAGGCTGCTCTAAGATCACCTCAGAGCTTTCTCTTTTCCAGGCTGAACAGCCCCAACTCTCTCAGCCTGTCTTCATAGCAGAGGTGTTCCAGCCCTCGGATCATCTTCGTGGCCCTCCTCTGGGCCCGCTCCAGCCGTTCCATGTCCTTCTTCTGTTGGAGACTCCAGAGCTGAAATGCTTTGGACAAGTCCAGGTAGATGATGTCAGTTGCTTTTCCCTTATCCACTAATGCTGTAATGCCATCATAGAAAGCCACCAAATTAGTCGGACAGGATTTGCCCTTAGTGAAGCCATGTTGGCTGTCACCAATCACCCCCTTATTTTCCATGTGCTTTAGCATAGTCGCCAGGAGGATCTGCTCCATGATCTTGCCAGGCATAGAGGTGAGACTGACCTTGTAGTTCCCTGGGTCGTCTTTTTTTCCTTTTTTAAAGATGGGGGCTGTGTTTCCCCTTTTCCAGTCAGTAGGAAGGATTGTCACGGAAGCAATGCTGCCAAGTCATGATGATTGGTGCTTTTTGTATATCTTCGTATTATTCAAAGTACTTTGTTCAAAGCTAGAGAAGAAAGAAGTTTCATCTAGTGGCGTATAACTGGCTTAGGTTCAATCACCTTATGAATTTATTGAAGTTGATATAGAGAAACCACAAGTGGCGGTCTCCTTCCTTGATTAAAACTACTGGCTTGAGTATATTTGGTACCGCTTGTAAACTGTCAGTAGGCTCAAGTTTAATCTTTCACTTTCTTGTGATCCAAAGTGGTATGGGTTTGGCAGAAGTCCAGATGTGCCTGGTATCTGGGCTACATTGGCATATTCCTGCCAGGATGATGGCGTCTTCAGAAGGAAGTCTTTATACTTTCCTATTGCCTTTGAAAGTTTGAATTTCTCTTCTAAAGCAAAACAAAAGGGGTCAAATCCCTAACACTGTTCAGCTTCTGGAGCTATGGTAGGACCTAGGTTATGTCCTAGGTTTCCTGGGAAATGCAAGTCTTGCTTCACACAACTGTGATGCAAAAATTTCTTTAGAATCTATAGACTATTGAAATGAATTGGAAATGTAATTGTTAACACTACTTTAATGTGAACTCATGCAATGAGAACAAAGCAAGCATACAGGCTTTTAAAACTTTCTTAGTAAATTAATTGTTTAATCTGTGTGCTTTGAACTGTCTTATCTAGAATTACTTTTGAACTACACGTGACAAAATTTTGGTTCTACAATGTTCGTGTCTTTGTTTTTATTTAATCACTTACCTTATGCGTCTCCTGATGAAACAGATTTCTCAAACTTCTTGCCCAGTGCCATACCTTTTTGTAGTCCTTGTATTCCACTTCAGGCCTGCTTGCAAGGCTGATTTCTTGTGTGCAGCAGTGCCTGCTGGTGCTGTATACCTCTCCCAAATGGTTTTGCTCCCTTAATCTGTCACTATAAGGACCAGAACTTGCTCAACTATTATTCAGTGCTGTCTTTACAGAGATGCAGGAAGAAAAGACTGAGTTGCAGAACAAGCTACAACTAGCTGTGTGTTGGGGATACAATAGTGTTCTAGAGATCCGTTTTTAAGTGTTAAAGGCTTGCATAGT